GGAGGAAGGGGAGAGGCGGTGGGAAGGCAGCTGGGGGCCGCCCAAGCCTGGGTCTGCCCCAGCGAGGTGCAGGGAGGGTGAGAGCCAGAGCCTCAGAGGGAGGACAGCCGGACAGACAGCTCCTCGCTATGAATATTAACTACTTCCTCCACAGGCAGACTTGCGCCGCGTTAACTGTTTCCTAGGCAGGACAGACAGACAGATGGACAGCCTACCCACCCTGCACCAGGTGCTGAGCATCACCTCGCTGCGTGACCCCCCCAGTTTGAGCCCCTCAGCCCTGCCCGGCTCCTCTGTGCACACGTCACACCTGGCCCCAAAAAGCAGTGACACATTCGGGGTGGGGATGTCCTTTCAGGCCACACGTGATGCTGTAACCCAGCCGGGTCTGCAAACCCTCTTGCTGGAGGCTTGAGTTTCCCCATCTAAAATAAATACGCAGCCAAAGAGGACTGGAAACCCACCATGGCTGAGCCACCGACCCATTTGGCCAGTGCCAAACCCAACCCATTTTCACAACCCCCTTTCTCTGCCCCACCAGATCTGCGGCACAGCATGGACGTGCCAGCACTGGTTTCGGGATGACGCGTGTTGGCCTACCACGGCAGGGCCCATCCCCACCCCTGAGCAGCCTGTGACCACGCTGCTCCATCCCGGGCAAAACCTATGCTGGGATGGTGCCGACAATTCACTGGTCCCGGTGATGGTGAGCCCACCCCGTGTCCGAGCCCTGGCTTGAACCCATGCTCAAGCCTCCACTCCTCGACTGATCCAACATACTCAGCGAAACGCGAGGCTCCCTCCACTCTAATCCCCCAAATCATGCGTTTCCCACACCCCCGCGGATGACGGCAGGGGATGAGAGCAGCGTTTCCAGCCAGCCCCCTGACTCACTGCCCCATTTGCTCCTGAACAGTGGTACACGCCAAGCCACCATCCTCCCAAAACCTCGGAGGTTTGCCTGCTTCTCTGCCTTTTTGGTTTTTGCCCCAGTTGCGCAGCTGTGGGCAGCCAGCAGGAGGGCAGGCCGGGAGCTCCCCGCTCCAGCCCGGCTGCCCGGGGACAGCCCCAGCCTCACTCCGGCAGGTTTTGACTTCAAGGACAGTTTAAAGGGGGAAAAGAAGGGGCTGAGCTTCCACCAGCCCATCCCTCTCTCATTCCAGCCCTGCTTGCGGACCAAAACCCCTCGCCCCCCCACATCACAACCCCAAATAGCAGGTCAGAGGACAGACCCTGCAGTGGGAGCAGCCACGCTAAATTCTAGCCAAAGGCCCTCCAGCATTCCTTCCATGGGGAATAACCAGAAGCAAGGGGGAGACGCTCCCTGTGGATCCCCACCCAGCCCAGCCAGGTCCCCGCTGCCCCCCAAAATGCCCCCCCTGCCAAGCCCTTACCTTGCTGCGGCTGGAGCGGAGAGTGAGCGGCAGAGAGGGGCGGGATGGGGAGGGGGAAGCGGATTCCTTCGGCTTTAGTCAGCTGGCGAAGGCGAGAGGAGAGCCAGCGGCTACCCCCCCCGCCGCGCCCGGG